ATGTGTTGCCTTTTTAATTAACCTATGATGTAACCCAAAGTTTTAGGCCCCATCCACATGATTAGCAAGCACTGGGCACTTTCTATCACCTTAAGCATTGTTAATAGATTCAGCAGTGCCCAGCAGACACTGGCCATGTAGTCTCAACTACAGGTGTGTCAACAGGGTGCCCATGATTTCTCTGCTTGTGATGTTATCTTTATTCATCCTCATCATGCACCATCATATTGTGTAAAATGGAATGTGATTTGTTAACAAAATTTAACTGCCAAGTACTGTCAATCGTGTGGACGAAGTCTTGTGGTTGAAATGTTCAAATATTCCATTTCTCCTACATGCTGAGGTCTTTTATCTCAAGAGTAGAAACATGCTGTTTGGGGGATGTAATGGTACCATATCAGCAACCCCTGCAGATTCAGTAATTTCACAGATCAGTTTTTATTTGCCATGGGCATCAGTATAAAAAACTGAATCAGAAGTTTTATCATATTCTGTCTTCTGTCAATGAAGTACTTTTCTTTCTATCTTAATGTTTCCTTTCTATTGAAATAAAAATATGATAAAATTATATAATCATCACTAATAATAATAATAATTCAATAAGATATATATACCAGAAAAAACACAATCAAAGGAAGAAAAAGATAAATCTTGTATCTGGTTAAATCATGAAATGAGTTAATGGAAAACGTAATTTGTGTCATATCTGGAATGTCTGAGCATGTGAAGAAAATAATAAAATAATGAAACAATACCAAGAAAAATCATAATCCTCTACTGAAAATCTGACTTCTGTATGGACACCAATGAGCTGAAAAAAATATGTGAACATATTTTTGCACCCTTGGTATTCACTAAACAGAAACTGTTGTGCACATTACATTCATAAAAAAAAAAAAATGATGGCACTTAAACATATGCTCAACAAGAGTAAAAATTATATTTATTACAACTAAAACAGAGTATAACTTGCTCTTTAGTATTCAAATAACTATGATTTTTTCCTGTACACTCAGCGTGAGACAGAATGTGATTCCCTTGTCAAATTAAGACAGAAAATTACCATAGATTAATTTCCTTAAATTTTATTCTTGGTAATCTTAAGGTAAAATATATCTGACATAGGATTTTTTTCTTATCCGTATCAATACTTTGACATGTATGTGTTGCCTTTTTAATTAACCTATGATGTAACCCAAAGTTTTAGGCCCCATCCACATGATTAGCAAGCACTGGGCACTTTCTATCACCTTAAGCATTGTTAATAGATTCAGCAGTGCCCAGCAGACACTGGCCATGTAGTCTCAACTACAGGTGTGTCAACAGGGTGCCCATGATTTCTCTGCTTGTGATGTTATCTTTATTCATCCTCATCATGCACCATCATATTGTGTAAAATGGAATGTGATTTGTTAACAAAATTTAACTGCCAAGTACTGTCAATCGTGTGGACGAAGTCTTGTGGTTGAAATGTTCAAATATTCCATTTCTCCTACATGCTGAGGTCTTTTATCTCAAGAGTAGAAACATGCTGTTTGGGGGATGTAATGGTACCATATCAGCAACCCCTGCAGATTCAGTAATTTCACAGATCAGTTTTTATTTGCCATGGGCATCAGTATAAAAAACTGAATCAGAAGTTTTATCATATTCTGTCTTCTGTCAATGAAGTACTTTTCTTTCTATCTTAATGTTTCCTTTCTATTGAAATAAAAATATGATAAAATTATATAATCATCACTAATAATAATAATAATTCAATAAGATATATATACCAGAAAAAACACAATCAAAGGAAGAAAAAGATAAATCTTGTATCTGGTTAAATCACGAAATGAGTTAATGGAAAACGTAATTTGTGTCATATCTGGAATGTCTGAGCATGTGAAGAAAATAATAAAATAATGAAACAATACCAAGAAAAATCATAATCCTCTACTGAAAATCTGACTTCTGTATGGACACCAATGAGCTGAAAAAAATATGTGAATATATTTTTGCACCCTTGGTATTCACTAAACAGAAACTGTTGTGCACATTACATTCCTAAAAAAAAAAAAAAAATGATGGCACTTAAACATATGCTCAACAAGAGTAAAAATTATATTTATTACAACTAAAACAGAGTATAACTTGCTCTTTAGTATTCAAATAACTATGATTTTTTCCTGTACACTCAGCGTGAGACAGAATGTGATTTCCTTGTCAAATTAAGACAGAAAATTACCATAGATTAATTTCCTTAAATTTTATTCTTGGTATTCATCTGATGAATATATATTTAGATTGTGTCCTACCAGCATGTTCCATCAATTGATATGAAATGGCACCCCAAGTTGTCAACATTCCCTTCTGAATGTTGCACTTATGATCTTTGCCATATCATTACTGTTTTGTTCCTGAGCACCATTTATAAACCAAGTATAATCATACAAACATTCACATACAATAAAAAAAAAATAAGAAGCAAATACTTTTAAAAATCAAAGGCAGTAAAATCAAATCATTATATATGTAATGAAACTATAACATGGAAATTGTTGAAAAAATACTAATATTGGTACAAAATCATAGTTGCTGTGTATTTTGCAATTTACATTATCTCATTTTATCTGAAATAACCAAACTCTCATAAAACCATTACCACCTTGTGTGATACATATTTGTTTTTTTGTGTGCCATGAATGATTTCCCCCCCAACATGGAGAAAAAGAAGAATAAGAAGAAGAGGATGACATAGAAGAAAAAAAGATAAATAAAAAATAAGACAAAAACAAAATACATGTACATACATACAAACAACTTTGTAATTCACTGACCAGCCAACTGAAGTTCAACATCATATATTTGTGTTTTTTTTTTCTTTTGGCTATATGAACTTTTATGAACAACTTCATACATGTAACAAACTTCAAAGTTATACTTTTCCTGCTACTTATGTAATCTGACCAAAATAAAGAATAGACATGGAGATTTCATGGTAAATTTCTGAAGGAAAAAAAAGAAGCTATTGACATTATTAGTCACATATTTCTATCTAGCTGTAAAATTGTAAAATATTTTTTTTCTTAACTAGACAGACATTTCTGATAGACACCCATTTGTTGGCAATAGTGGATATGTGTAGAACACAGCTGAATGCATATGTGAAAGTGATTTCATCTAATATTTACATCAATAAATAAACATTTTGATCATGTTAGATTCTAGTTCATAGCACTGGAAATAACAATGTTACACTTAGATCTTCTTCAAAGGATACTTTCTCATTTTCCCCTGTTGTCTGCTGCTTGCCATTTACCCACTACAATGAACTAGTTTTAGTAAGAATCTTTGTAATCTGTTTGTCAGTGTCCTGTGAACGTTCTATCTGTTTATGGTACTCATGAAAGCAAGGAACAATGCACAGGTTGGTTCTACACTCTGGGCAATGGTATTTTGTCTTTCGACGAAGAACTCTTCCTTGTGGGTCTGTTGAGTTCCAACAAAAGTTGCATCCTAGAGCAGGACCACCACGGAGGACGGGACAGTGACCAGGAGAAGAAGCAGGTCTGAGTGGAGGTGTGGTTGTCACTGACAACTGAGGTGTACTTAACATGCGATTTCCAGTACCAGAGTCTAGACCTGAATCTTGTGACACACTCTGTATTAAGACAGATGGTCCTGGAGCTAACTGCTCATGTGTGTGAGTCATTGACTGTCTAGACATAGCTGGTTCCTCACTCAGTGCCCTAATGGGTCGGGAAGGTCCAGTCACTGTACAACCACTCATATTAAAGCCACTACTACTAATATTTACATTGCCTCCATCTTCTGAAGGTGTCAGACGTATCAAGGGTATTTCCTTCTTAGGAAGTGGTTCAGAAACAGCTGGGCCTTCACAAGGCTTTGGCTGAATTGGTCTCAGCTGTGATGGCATGGTTACTGGTGGGGGTCTTGGTTTCATAACTAAATGCATGGGAATTACCTGTAAGTGCTGCTGCTGTTGAGGTGCTGTACTGCTAGTGCTCGTGGTGGTAGTAGTACTTGGTAATCTTTCTGATGGTGATGGTGTGTGTGTCAGAACACCTAAATGGGATCTCTGTTTAGACATCTGAGGGGGTCCTTGATGTGTTGGTGGACCTCGGGATTCTGGATGAGACAACTGTTTACTTATGATGGGTGTTGGGGTCAGAGGAGGTGTTGGATGTGAATGCTGTTTGGGTAGTGGTCCTGGTCCAATGGAGTCTCTATGTCCCACTACCATAGTTGGCACCTGAAGGAGTGTTGGCTGATTACTTGACAATGTTACTGTTCCACCTGAGACCACCACAGTATCTGGAATAATAAGTTCTGGCTCCTTTTCCGCATCACCCTTTACATCCTTTGTGTCACTTTTCCCAGACTCTTGTGGTGCTTGCTGTTGCTGAGGATGCTGTGACTGCTGAGAGTGTTGCTGCTGATGGGTAGCTTCTCTGTTTTCTTCCCTGCGTTCCTCACCTGCAGCATCCCGGATAATGCCATGTTGTCGCTGTAGTACTCCTCGCTTCCCACGACCTGTGGGAAAAACAAATTTCATGAGCACAGGATCATACATTAATAATCAGCTCATATTAAAATATATAAACCATAAAAAATAAATGCAGTTATGGAAAAGAAATAAAATTCTTGTACACTATACTTCCTAATACATCAACTAATTTTTTTCTATATGTTCCTAATATCTTTCCTAATATTATTCTAAATCAAAATATCTGATGCAGTAACAGGTATTCTTTTATCATCTGCATGATGATAGTTTCATCATTCAAGAAAATTTTCATTTCAGTGATAGTTCTTTGATATGGTAAGAATGCATGTCTTTCAATCTGCCGTCACAGATTTTGGTAATGGATAATCAACGTTAACAACGCTTATTCTACTCCTCCCCCAGCCATCGGTTCATCACTAAGGACCTGTGGCAGCTAGGTGACAACTCACATACGAAGCTGTTTCAATTTCAAACCTTATCAAACTCAGTCTTGTGTCTGAGCTACAGTTAAAGGTCCATGTACGCAGAAAATGGAAGTTCATTTCATATCAATTTCTGGTGAAATTTATGGTTTTAGTTTACAATTTTTATTTTTTGTCTGTATAATTTGTAATTTTGTTGGGATGATCCAAATTCTGAAAATGAGCTAGTTGTATGATGGTGATAAGAAGAGTCTAGAACCTGTTTTTTGCTTGGTCTATATTTGCAAACTGTGACACAAGTAACAATCCTCATATTTACCATAGAGGGCAGAATGTGTGGCATTACATCTTATTTGATATATCAATGTTGTTATTACAGAAAAGCATGTTTCTTTATTTCCAACTTAACAGTATCAAAACCAATGTCTTTAGCCATGTTTACATGTGAGGCAGTGCCTGTGCTGGCATACACATTACTAAACCATTTACACATTTAGAACTAGGAAGTCATCAAAATGGTTGTGCCTAGTCTCTTGTGACACAAGACAAAAGTGCCCCATAATAGTTAAAACTTACTGCCTGGGAATTACTAGACCTGGTAATATTACTTAAGAAGTTGGTTCCCATGTGGACACATATACTTCACTCATCTGACTACAGTAAATGCTAATGTGTGGTTACTGTGTACAAAGCTCAAACATTCTTGTCTCCTTTCTCATCCATTAATTGTTTTTTCATACTGCTACATTACTCATTCCTTTCTGCTTTCATAGCATTTTTTGTAATGCACAAGTGCAGTATAATAAATTACCAATGACAGCTATACAAGCTGGTACAGAAGAAAAAATGCAGTCCTTATTTTATTTGATTTCTCAAATTGGACTGAAAATTGAAATATGTGTGAACAATTTCAAATTAAGGGGATAAGCTTTTTCTTTGTTTTGAGAAGATTGTGCACTTAATCCCTCAAAATTTTACTTGAAATTAACCCCTTGCCACCAAATGCGCATGTCTACATACACTATCTGCCATGATTTACTTTAATTAATCCAAAAATGCTTTGTCGTCATGGAGTCAATTAGTTAGCCGATCTGACTTTATCCATTTACTTCATTCCTTAAATATTTGTTTAAAAAAATGGCCTTTTGTCATTCTTTATAAAAACAATGATATTGATAATACTAATTATATAACAATAATTGTTAGAAATATGAACTTTTCCACAAGAACACAAGGAATGGAGTAGACTTGACTACTTTCAAAACCATCGATGCATAAAGAAACAAGCTACAGTAGACAGTGCTTGTACTTAACAGTAATAGGTTGTTTTATGACAACAATACGTAAAATCATAGTATGCCTTATATGTATTTCATTATCTCAATTTGTGTTTCAAGCCAAATTCTTGGTGTATATTTGACTGTTGATGTCAGCAGAGTTGCAAATAATCAAAATTCCTTTGCCCCAACAATCTTCAGGTTCAGCAGCAGAATGTTTTACTCCTGGACTTTAACCCAATGCGGCCAGGAAAACGCTGTGCTAATTTTTTATAATTATTTTTTTGTGTGTGTGAAATGTATCTGCACTTGATGGCTCTGCAAGTGCTTAGACACAATGGAGTCAATTAGTAGACCTTGTGACCTTACCCGATTTCACCTTTCCTGGAATTGACTGGATTTTTTATTTATTTATTTTTTTACTAGCGTTATGAATAGCGATGGTGTTATCTTTATTATAGACATTATATTTACTATAATGTTAAAGACATCAGCAACAGCAATATAAGATAATGTAAAATATTTTAGAGAATCAAGGAAAAGGGTAAACGGGTGAGACTGGCAGTACTTGCAATTGGCTCATTGGTGACTTAGTACATGTGTAGCCATCTATATGTAAAAACAATCAATAAAGTAAATTCATAGTGGGCATAGCATGTATGTACATGCCATATCCAGCTGCATTAGGTTAAATATCTTCAAATGTTTATCTTTCAAGTAATTTTCTATGTTTGAAATATGTAAATATTCTTGCTCATTCAGATTCTGCTAACAATGTGACTAACACAGGGAAGTAATCTCTCATATCATCTCTTTAACTGCAATTACAATCAGTATGCAGTTTCCCCAAGACTTTTGTGGAACATCAATTTGAATTTCTCAAGAATCCAACTTCAAATTGTGGCTACCCATGGCCTAATATATGAGCAACTTTCAGCATCACTCTATATACAGCTTGAACTTCCTTAATCATATATCAATTGAATTACATATTCAGTATTTCAAAAGTTTACTGATTCAGTATATATACTGTTATATTTTCTGATTTTAATATATTTTTTTATTCTCCCCAAATCTTTCCTACAAACAAATCAGTTCTATTTAAAGTGAGAAAAAAAAGTCAGTGGGTACAATCATCTATAGTAGAATGGTTATTGGTTTCAAAGCAAAATGTGCATGCTATACATCAAAGGTCATATAGCACTATAGGAAGATGTAGTAGCAAAAAGGGTAAAGAGGGGGGTGAGTTGATGACTGAATGTGCTACACATTAAAAGTTGTACACCAATTTAGGACAATATGGTAAGAAAAAGGATAAAGAGGGTTGAGGGTAATGAAGGTGAGTATATAGTTTAAGGTATGGACTAGCAAAAGGATGACTTGATCAAACGAAGAATATGTGTGAACAATACGTAGCAAGAAAGGAGGGCAGCACCTGCATCCTGCGCAAGGAGAAAGGCATTTGCTTGGACTGAGGTGTGAATCTGCCATCCGGTCTTGCTACGTATTGTTCACATCACAATACGTAGCAAGACCGGATGGCAGATTCACAATATGTATGTGTCTGAGGAAGGAAAAGTTGTCAAAGAAAAGTGGGATTCTGCAAGGATGTCCATCTGTAAAGCAGGGATTAGCAAAAAGGGGAAAGCGGGCTTCAAGACAATTAGATCAAACAGCAGTTTCAGGTGAAATGTCAGGAGGGGAAGGATTCAGGAAATGGCAGTGCTGCAACAGAAGAGAGTCAAGTCATATGTGTGTCCATGAGGGAGTGGAAAGGGGTGGTGATACAGATGAAGCAATGGGGGGAATGAAGTGTGTTGGGAGGGAGTGGGAGGAAGGGGTGCAGAAGGAAAATGAGTAGGAGGATGATGGATATCAGAAGTCACTTTGAGTGGGGAGGGAATGGGAGCACAGAGATTTGAGCATGAATGAGGTATAGGTATGTTATTTTGGGTCACGATTTGATGGTTTTGAATGCCCTTTAGAAATTCTGACAGATAGCTGGTGGGAGAGGTCTGAGAAACTAAGGTTTTCTTATGAAGGGGAGAAGAGAGGACAGATGTGTCAGGGACAGAGGAAGAGGTAGGTGTAGAAAAGGATACTGTAGAAAATAGTTTGGAATGTTCAAAGTGTCTGATGTGATGGGAAGAGCAAGGAGGAAGAGGGGTAGGATCTGGGGAATATCTTATTTTAATTTCTTGAAATATTTCTGTGGCATCAACATCTAAGGTCATTAGTGGTGTATTATGACAAAGGGTAGTAGCAAAAGGGGTTAGGAATGAGTTGATGATTAGCGTAAAGTACAGGTTGAATAGTACTAGAGGGTAGTATGGTAGTGAATGGGGTCGAGAGGGGGAGCTGATTGGGTATGGTATAAGGTAAAGGTTAGAAGGTGAAGGAGTTACGGGAGTAGGGAGCATTATAATAAAGTATTGTGGCAAGAATGAGTTAATGATTAAGATAAGTGGACAGAACAAGGGGATGAAGAAAAGAAAAAGGAAAAGAGAAGAAAACATTATGCAAAATTAGTTCGAGACAAGAGCTGAGGACTAAGCCCCCCACGAACAAGGGATTGGGTGGGGGGAGGAGACACTGAAGAAGTAGAGATTGGAGTGTCTGGATTTAGAATGGCAAAAAAAAAAAAAAAAAAAAAAAAAAAAAAAAAAAAAAAAAAAAAAAAATTGACTGGAGAGGGAAGGGGTTATAAGTGGGAATGTAAGAAGTAGGAGGAAGAGATGCAGGGGAGGTGTAGAAATATCTTGGGGAGGAGAATGGGCAGAGTGGAGGACAGAACTGGAGTACAGAAAGAGAAACACCCTACTGGTATTCTTCCTGCCCTGCCTCGTGCAAAGTGATTTCAAGTTTGAATCTAAGGGTGTTGCTACCTCAGACTCGAAATTTTACGTAGGGCATCCTCTATAAAATACATTATGAGATCCACCACAATTGGCACATATGAGATTGTGCAGGGCAGTTTCAATGTTCATGGTCAGACTGGTTACAAACAAGACAGCAGACTGTGGAGTGACAGTGTTTAGCAAGTGGCCAAAATGCCAACATTTCTGATACTGACAGAGTAGGACTCTCTAATGATAAAAACTTCATGGGAGAGATCATGTCTACAGAAGGTAATACTGGCAATATTGGTGTAGTGATTCTGCATCATAGGCAATAAGAAAGGCAAGCAGTTCATACTCATTCCAACTAATCCTTGTCACAGATTGGGCTATCAGCATGGGTGTACAAGTGTTAAGGGAATATAGAGGCTGGGCAGGAATATGTTTGCCATTAAGGTCAGTCATGGCAGATAATACACAAGCTTAAGAC